TCACAATAATCTTCCAATTTAGAACTACAAGTTAAAAAGAACTAACGTAAATAAAATACACTTCAGCTAAATACTAATTTATTTTCCCAAACCACGCGGAGCCGCAGTATAAGGACTAAAGAGCCGCAGTTGCCGACCCCTGATATAGGCCATCCAATTAAGGTAAATGTCATGTTTTTAGTTGTCAGAATCTGATGGGAAATATTTTATTTTTTGTTGTTTTATTTTTCAGTTAAGGTAGTCAGGGGGTTTGCGTGCCTCAGTGACCTTGTTTCTTTGGAACGCACCTTCTATCTTTTTGACTTCAGGCTGACTCCACATTTCCTCTTCTTATTAGTGCTTCTGTTTCCTTTAGCTCTTTCATATTAAAAGCAAAGTGCAGGCAAACTTTTATTGTGAAGCATTGAGAGGAAATAGTGTGTTTGTCACACAGTGAGGAGAGTTTTGTTAGCTGAGCTGTCTCACATACCACCATTTTCATCATGAACAACTGAAACAGGAACAGGAAGTTAAATAAAGGGTGGTGCATCACCATCAGCAAAACCCATCTATCCATTTTCATGACTACTGATCAAATTCAGGCTCCCAGATGATACAGGCGGGATACACCCTGGACAGGTTGCCAGGCTACTGCATGTCTAATGCTGCTGAGCAAACTCATCCTGTAAAGTCTCATTTGGACGCGCACTAATAAAAATCTGAACAATGCAAAAGACAACAAATGACAATTTCTGAATTCTATATAGTTGAATTTCAAAATATTGCAAACAATATATGTTCAACACTTTTAACATGGATTTCTTAGAAAAAATAAAGAAAATACTTTTTCCTTTCAAATTTCATTCTGAACTGAGCTACTGTGAACAAGTTTACCACTACACCAACAATATCAGTAGACTGTCATCAAAGATGAGGGTGAGGACCCAGGTACTGACAAGTAGTAGTAGGAGACTGGAACTTATTAACAAAAGGCGGGCGTTTATTTAGCCAGAATACACAAGGCTACAAAAATAAGAAAAACTAATAACTAATGTAAACTGGGAGAAGCTAAACTCAGAGCACCGCACAAGGAAGGCGGAAAAAACTAGAGACTGGGAACATGGGGAAGATGAACAGACAACCTGATAAAGAGCAAAAGTTAAGCAACTGAACACAAAGCATGTGAGACAGGGGACTGTCAAAATAAAACAGGAAGTGGCACACTTCACAGGTGAGACACAGTAACAAGAACCTAAAGACTAATAAAATAAGCGAACAGGAAACACAAATGATTAAACTGGGAAGAGCAAGGAAACAGAACCATGACTAACATCAAAGAATAGAAACTGAACCAGAACATCAAACACTGACTCGCAGACTCCAGACCAATAGATCAATATTCTGGAGTTTCCAAATTCTACTCAAATTTTAACTGAGAACACGTTTTGTTTTTAACACCAGGTAAAATTTTAGAACATTTTCTGCTGCTTTACTTTGCCTAAGAATGTTATGGTCCAAGAACCATCACAAAGTAGAAACTCTGCCAATCATGTCTGTTGTGGCCTTGACAAATGGCATCATTCTGGTGATTTCCACATTTTTCACTCTCACCTGGAGGTTTGTTAATTCAGAGGGTTAAAGTGCTTCATCTGCTCATCACAGCAATAACTCAAAACGGCTGATGGACACATGTAAAGATTAAAAACTGACACACTCCTTTTTCTTTCTTCTTAAACATAAAATTAAAATTGAATTGAAACTTTTTTTTCCTTCTCCCTCAGAGTGCAGACATGGCTGCTGCCAGTAATCTGCAATCTGAAGATCAGTTTCTGTGCTCCATCTGTCTGGATGTGTTCACTGATCCAGTCAGCACACCATGTGGACACAACTTCTGCAAAAACTGCATCACTCAGCACTGGAACGCTAATGGCAGACATAAATGTCCTATGTGTAACAGAGTGTTCAAGAGACGACCCGAACTAGACATCAACACTTTGTTCTCTGAGATGGTTGCTCAGTTCAGACGTGAAGCTCAGCAGAAAGCCAGCAGCAGCAGCTCAGAGCAACAAGCTGCTAAACCAGGAGAAGTTCCCTGTGACTTCTGCACTGGAACCAGACTGAAGGCCCTGAAGTCCTGCCTGGTGTGTCAGACTTCCTACTGTCAGACTCACCTGGAGCCTCATCTGACAAAGAAAGCTCTGAGAGGACATCAGCTGATTAATGCAGTGGAGAACCTGGAAGACAAGATGTGTAAGACGCATGAAAAACCCCTGGAGCTGTTCTGTAAGACCGACCAGACATGTGTCTGCATGCTCTGCTCTGTTTTAGAGCACAAGAACCACGAGTTTGTTCCTCTGAGAGAAGAATATGAAGGAAAGAAGGCAGAGCTGGGGAAGACAGAGGCTGTGATTCAGCAGATGATCCAGAAGAGACGACTGAAAATTCAAGAGATCAAAGAGTCAGTGAAGACGAGTAAAGGTGCTGCAGACAGACAGAAAGCAGAAGGTGTTCAGGTCCTCACTGCTCTGAAGGAGTCTGTTGAGAGACGCCTGAAGGAGCTCATAAAGGAGATCGAAGACAAACAGGAAACTACAGAGAAACAGGCTGAAGGTCTCATCAAAGATCTGGAACGGGAAGTCTCTGAGCTGATGAAGAGAAGCTTTGAGGTGGAGCAGCTCTTACACTCTGAAGACCACCTCCACCTCCTCCAAAGCTTCTCGTCCCTGAAAGCTGCTCCACCCACCAAGGACTGGACAGAGGTCAGAGTCCATCCACCATCATATGAGGGGACTGTGGTGAGAGCTGTGGCTCAGCTGGAGGAGACACTCAGGAAAGACTTGAAGAAGCTGTTTGAGGCCGAGCTGAAGACGGTCCAGCAGTATGCAGTGGATGTGACTCTGGATCCTGATACAGCGTATCCTAATCTCATCCTGTCTGATGATGGGAAGCAAGTATACTGTGGTGATGTGAGGATGAATGTTCCAGACAACCCAGAGAGATTTTCTGCTTGTGTTTGTGTTTTAGGAGCGCAGAGTTTCTCTTCAGGCAGATTTTACTTTGAGGTTCAGGTTAAAGGAAAGACTGACTGGGACTTGGGAGTGGCCAGAGAGTCGATCAACAGGAAGGGAAATGTTATGCTGAGACCTCAGTATGGTCTCTGGACTGTAGTGCTGAGGAATGGGAATGAATACAGAGCTTGTGCAGGGCCTTCATTCCGTCTCTGTCTTTATTCTGGCCCTGAGAAGGTGGGGGTGTTTGTGGATTATGAGGAGGGTCTGGTCTCCTTTTATGATGTAGGTACTGGAGCTCTGATCTACTCCTTTACTGGCTGCTCCTTCACTCACAAACTCCACCCATACTTCAGTCCCTATCTGAATCAGGGTGGTAACAACTCTTCACCTCTGATCATATGTCCTGTCGGTCAAACTGAGTCGATCAACGACTGATTTTATTTGATGAACTGATTGAAGTAAAGGTGGCACCTGTGTGTTTGGCACACCGTCTACCGCTCTTTCTTATTTGTCTCATTTTATTATTTTTAGCCAACGTTGTGCAAGATGTCAGTTCCACGCTGTCTTATGATCACCAGACGTTATTGAAAACAGGTTCATCCACCAAAGTTTTAGTTCAGCTTGATGAAGCCAGGGTTCTTTGCCTCCCTATCTGGAAGCAATACCATCGTGCCGGTGTTGTGCCATTCCAACGCCACAAGCTACGTGGAAGCGACGCAGGATACGGGGTACCCATGGAGGTCGCCTCGTTAAGCTGAGAATCTGGATTACTTACCTTCCCCAAGATCTTCACTCCAATCGTCAATCTTTTCCATGACTCCTGGTGCCATCGCTTGCTCTGGACTCTGTGGACTCCCGGTTGGTTCCCGTTGCCAGCTCTATCGAGAGGAGCCCTCTTAAATCCTTCCCGTCGACATCTGCGTTGGCGGGTAGCGGATCAATCAAACCTTTGACTGGTGGATCGGGTAGTCGCTCCCGCAGAAGTCTCTGACCCCTCAGGTTGGGTTTAATAAATGCCAGATCGGTGGCAAACAAAACTTTCATTTTGAAGGATTTCTTTTCTTCCGATGTGTTTGGGTTTCCTCCGTCTGACTGAAACTTGGACTTGTGCCTTTTCTGCCGGCCGGCTGTGCTTATTTTAGCGCCCCGAGAGCTTCTGGTGGTGGAAGGGGGTTAGCTGTTGTTTTTAAAGCACACTTTGATTTTAGGCAGCTATCCTCACCGACACGCTACACCAGTTTTGAACTTTGTGTGAACTAGGCCACTCGCCTTCGTTGCTGTATGAGATAGTTTACCGGCCTCCTAGAAATAATAAGGATTTTTAATACGAGTTTTCGGACTTTCTTGCTGACTGTGCATCATGGTACAACCAGATTCTGCTGCTCTGTGATTTTAATTTTCACATCTGTTTCCCAGAGAAGCCACTGGTTAAGAACTTCATGGACTTAGTAAACTTTTAATCTTGTTCAGTCTGTTAAAGGTCCCACTCAAGAACGTGGTCACACATTGGACTTGGTGTTATCTTATGGGTTATCCGTATGTAACTTACATGTCGAGGATGCTGTATTCTCTGACCATATGTCTGTAACGCAGACACTAAAGAGGTTGCTCCACAATGTCACGCTAAAAAGAAAGATTCTTTAAAATACAAGGGGGAGCAAGTGAGTCAGATACCAAGGGCACACAGATGAAGCAGGTAATGTTTGGGCCCTCGCACCATATGGCAATAAAACAGGGATGATTCTGTCATTGAAGTTATTGGGCTCATGGAAATCACTGTATGTGAATACAGTTTTCTGTGTCACTCACAAATACAGGTTAAAGTGCTATCATATAAAGAAGAAGCCATAAGTGAATGGTGCCATTTGCGTGCTAATTGTGAGTACATTCATTCAAAGTCATCTTAGTGGAAACCAACTTAAGATGATTATTACTTTCAACATTAATTTAAGTGTATTAAGGTAAATCTAGAATATAGAATAGATCGAAAAAAGCTTAATGCACTCATTTTCTGTGTGGTGTTTAAATATTTTCTTACAAACCTCCTGTTTTTAAAAATTAAACGTTAAATATATAACCACAAGACTTGTTTGATGTGTTTACTACCCTTTTTTCCAGTAAGTTGGTGAGAGTATGTAGACTAGACCATTAGTTGTACCCCCACAAAAACGACAGACTTTTGTCTTCTGTTTTTTATCCCATCGTTATTAAATGGTAAATGGACTGGTTCTTATATAGCGCTTTTCTACTCATCTGAGCACTCAAAGCGCTTTACACAACTTGTGCATTCACCCATTCACACCCATTCGCACAAGCACATCTCTCTAAGTGCTTTATAGCTAACATTCACACACATTCATACTCCGATGGATGCATCGGAGAGCAATTTAGGGTTAGTATCTTGCCCAAGGATATTTGGCATGCAGACTAGGCGAAGCCAGGAATCGAACCACCAACCTTCCGATCAGTAGATGACCTGCTCTACCACCTGAGCTACAGTCAAGCATGCAAACAAGCATGCAAAGTTTTACCAGGGTTGATCAATCATTGCATGTGCCTGTCAATAATAATACAGCAGATAATCAGTTAATAAACGGCAATTGCCATAAGGGAATTACACACCTTGATTTATAGTTAATGTTAATGAGTAATGAAGTAGGAAAAATCCATTAAGAAGCTGCTTGGGTCTGTTAGAAAATGTTCCAAATTTTATAATTCTGGATAAAGGAAGGGGTAGCTGTAGAAATCTAAGCGCACATCTTTTAAAACATCTGCTCTAAGGATTTTCATCATTCACAAAAGATCTAGGTCAAACTTGTGAATCTAGAGCAATGAATGTGTCTCGAAGTGCCAACGGAAGACAGCGGCAGGTAAAAGAAGATCAGTTCATCTCATATTTTATGCATTGCTTCTCATCTTTGTGGGGGCAGAGCTGAGTCTGAGCCCTGTTTGAAATCTCCCAACCTCATTAGGAACTGGCTTGCTTTTGGGGAATCGGGTCTGTTCTCGTGCCTGCCTGTGAGGAGTAAGACTAAAGGAGCGGGTTTGGATGCTTCTTTGATGTTCGCATCGAGGGGATTGTGTGTTTCTTGCCAGGAGATTGATCCACTGTGGAAACTCATCTCTTCTGAACTCATTCACAGGAGCAAACACAAGCACAACAACATACCTAAATATCAGATTTTTTTTTTCAAACCACACAGTTTTATAAGTAGTATCAACAACATTTGCTGTGATTATTAATTTGAAAATCCAGGGTGAAGCAGCAGTTTTACATTTTATTTCAGGCTTTCTTGCCTAGTCCCTTAAATTGGCACATTGTAATGCAGCAGTGAACAGTTCTCTTGACTAAAATGTAGTGTCTGTTTTGGTAATGTCATACTCGCTAACAGCAGGTGTTTCCATCTTGCTGGGATTACAGGCCTAGACTGTGTGCAGGATGGAATTTTTCTCCCTGTTTAGTGTCATAGTGATGAGTCTCAGAGGAAAAGTCTTTGACGGGATAATGAATTCTCTTTATGGATAGTTGTTTGTGCTGGAAATGACCTGCCCATGTAGTGTAGTTCTGTGTTAGAGACGAATGTCAATGGTGACAGGAGCAATCTTGAATCAATGAAAAAGGATGAAAGTGGGAAAGTTATTTTAAAGAGGGGTGCAGACTAGTTTATTTCAGGTTTTAGGACATGGTAATAGCTCATGTGGTTCATAAGTCTTAAAAGTGTTGAAAACTGAGCATTAATAAAACTAAACTGATAATAATCTTTCTTTACTCTTCATTTAGATTCGCCTCATGGTGCTTTGAATGCACATCTTTTCGGTCTCTCTTGCAAAGATTTACTGTTATAACCATGGCAAAGGTACTTGAGTTTAATGGTTGTTCAAAATCAATTTCAGAGCTAAAGAAGGCAACCTCAGTGCTGCATTAGTCTCTCATCTCCTGGCAGCAGTCTTCATGCTATATCTGAATGAGTAAGCAACACCTTAACAATCCTCCCTGCTGCCATCCATTCATCTGTAAATGAGGGAAGCACCCTTTATTCTAAAATTAGTAACAGTGAAATGACTAGCTAAAAGCGCATGGAAACCTGTCTTTTGCATATGAATGGTTGAAAAATGTGCCGTCTAGCAGAGTGAGAGATCGGTAGGCTGATTTCGATGTGTGAAATAAGAAACCTGTTTGTTACAGTTGCTGGAGGCATTAAAGACCTTAATGGCGTCATTAAGTGGGATAGGTGCAAACTGACAAGTAAATTTATATTTCTTAGTGTGTCAGCTAAAGTCAGCTTATAGTAGTCTCCCCAGATATATTAACCTTATATTGATTAAAAATCAGAATAGTGTACTGACTACCTGTTTGTGCTCTTAAAGCTTTTCAACAAGTTCAAATTTTGTCTACATGATTTTTTTTTATTATAATTTTTAATAAGTTAATGTGTTTATAAAGGTTAACAGTGCACATGAAATACTGGAGCTTTTACATCAGACACTTAATGTGCAGAGTACAACATGGTTTTTAAACTTTCAGGGTTACATGTCTATGTCAGGTGACATGATCTTAGTATGCTATTAGCTCCTCTTGTGCATTTTTGCTTTTTTTGCAACAATGTCTCCAGTCTGTTTGTAGTTCAGATCAAGCGCTCTTTTAAAATAGGTGTTTAAAATTGCATTTTCTCTGAAGCAATATTTCCACGAAAGTTGTCCAAGTAGATCAAGCACTCACAGCATATACCTAACATAAGTTTTTTTTTCATTTCCTTTAAAGATTAGTATAAGATTAGAGCCTGACCCAGTCTTGGTTCTAAAGATAATGTGTCATATCATCATATCATAGTCATATCATTTTTAAACAACTGACAGTGCCTCAAAGTCTCAGTAATTAACATGTTGAAAGTAAAACAGGAATATAAGTCTCAATTTTATGAAACAAGCTGTTTCTCTTTTTTTAAGCAAAAAAAATGCACCTGTAAGTATAACGTATTATTTATACTTCATACTTGATATATAAACACCTATACATTTTTTATGGTGTCATCTCAGAAGTCCAGAAGGATATATAAGTTCAGACACCTCCAATAAACCTATAGTAATGGCTTTGTCTCACATCCACATATTGGGTTTGGCCTTTTGGTCTTGATTTTAGTGATTAGTTCCTGTGACCTTTGAAAGCCTTGTACTATATTGCACAAAGGCACAAAGGGGCTATTGCACTATTGTATATCACAGTGATGTTCTTTAGAATCTTTATAATACTGGACAGTTAATCCTGAGTGAAATAATGACACTTTACTTCCTGTATAAGAGGTGATCACTCTGAGTTTATAAAATAGGCTTTGACAAGATTTGCCTTGTTTGCTGTGTTCATTGACGCAGGTCACTCTTGTTTTTGTCCACATTACAAGGTTCAGACTAAAATCTTGGATGGGTTGCCATGACAT